AATATATTGATATAATAAAACTTCAAGCATATCAACTCGATTCCAAAATTGTATTCGTCCTAGAAATTCCATTAGTCGACCCCGAAATCTATACCTTATATCATTTATATTCGATACCAATATTAGATAATCAAACTGGTCTTTTTCATACACTCTCTACAATACATAAGTATATAGCGCGAGATGATGATTCAATTTCATATGTATTACCCCGAAACACAGAAGAATGCAAATCAATTAGTCCAAATCAAAGAATGTGCACAGATATTCTTCCCTATCCAATAGACAGCGATACTATATGTGAGGCACAGTTATTGAAACCAGTTAGCTTTCTACCAAAAACTTGTCAGATGTCGACGTTTTTAGCACAAGATTACAATGTGCAAGAAATTGACCGAAATTTACGGTTAATAACAGTATCCGATCCATTACCAGTTACAATCAAGTGTGAAAGAAAAGACATTAGTACCCAGACAATCAAAGTAAACACAATTCTAAGATTACTACCCGAATGTACGGCATTTATTGGAAGTACCAGAGTCCACGCCAGAGATCAAATCAATAAATATCCAAATATAACCTACAGAAGTCATCCAGTTAATATTCCATACAGATGTTGTGACCATTTCGGAAGAAGAAACCATATACCAAATTTGAAACCATTACAACTCAATAAGATAAATGCAGACGATTTAAATATTGCACAACATAAGCTGGACCAATATTCAGAAGAACTCGACCAAATCATGAACCAACCATTCATCGAAAAACATTTGCCTTGGTTCACTATATTGTCTTTATCATTAATTATCATTCTAGTTTTTGTATACATCCTCTGCAAATGTAGACGCAAAAGATTTCCAAGACTTGCCATGAACTACCCTCAGGACTCACCTCCACCTTCACCACATCGCAGCAGTTCCATTAAACAGACACTTAAAGGATTAACCTTTAAAAGAAGACCAGACGTACGCCCAGAAAATGAAGACGTCTCCGAAACCCCAATTGAGCTTTAAAAGTCGAAGCAAGGCATCGACTTTTCACTAATGAGGGGAGCTGTTATATGTGAAAATAGTCACCTTGAACCACTCAAGGGTTACCGACACTTTGGTTTCGCAATATCAGTTCCTATTTCATCATTCTTTTAGCAAGCGTTCCCATAGAGATAGCTGACTATGCACGGACATCAAACTCTGACCAAAGCTGGCCTTTCGTGGGAAATGCCGACACCACATTTTGTAGATAGATTATAAATTCAGGACTAACATTATATTTTTCACTCGTCATATAAGTTTCTTACTAATAACATTTGTATTATATAATTTTATTTGCTTCATTTTATCGTATAACTAAGTGTAACTTTTATTTGTGAAATAAATCTTTTTTAAAAAGTCAATCAAGAAGTTAGTGATTTAACATATATATATAGCAAATATACAGCAAAACTGATATGTATATAAAATTTTAACCATATTTTAGTTGTCTCCTGAAGAAGCTGACAAAAAATCAGCGAAATATAGAGTAATGAAAGAAAAAAAGAGTTTTTTTATTAAATAACAGACGACCGCATACCTGATACTCCAATACAATAAATTGTTATATATATATATATATATATATATATATATATATATATATATATATATATATATATATATATATATATATATATATATATATATATACTCGCCAAAAAAGTATCACATCACCTATGATACTGCAAAATATATATATATATATATATATATATATATATATATATATATATATATATATATATATATATATATATATATATATGTAGTATGTGTATGTAGTATGTATATATAAGTAGAGGATGTAATCAACTCAAATATATGAAAATTTAGAGAATGTGAATTTTGCATTTACACAATTCATGTACCTATAAATCTATGACAAGTAATCACAAAGTGGACAGGTTTTCAACAGTTCGTTTCTAATGGTATTTTGTAATATTTGAATGTTAGAAGCGCTCGAGCAATCTTTTTTTACTTAAAAAAAGCTTGCCGACCAATTTCTGTTAATTTAGGGTGGTTGTCTAGTTAAAGTTATACTGTACACTTCAACATTGACGTACCCATTATAAAATTAGTACAAATATATTATCACTACTAATATACACCTTAAATGTCGAATGAAGGAGACGATTTGGAGCTCTAGGAAATAAAAGAAAAATCCTTAAAAAGCCTATGACAATGATGATGACAGGAGAAATATTGGAGAACACCTTCCAAGAAAACCATTAGTAAACGTAACTAATCTAATGAATGCGTCATGTAGATTAAAACATGTTCCAATATAAGGGAAACTAGCAGAAGTCATAATGATAGCACAGAAAGGAAAACCACAGAATGAAATTTTATCTTACAGATTCATATCTCTACTACCTGTAATGCCTAAACTGTTTAAAAAGTTTATACTAAAAAGACTGAAAGTAATAACTACAGAGAAGGACCTCATCCCAGTTTGGTTTCAAGGAAAGTCACTCGACTATAGATCAAGTTCATGAAATAAAAAATGTAATAGAAAAAGCACTGGAATGGAAAACAGTCTATTCAGCCGTATTTTTGGATTTAGTGCAAGACTTTGATAGAGTATGACATGAAGACCTAATTTATAAATTAAAAAGACAATTTCCAATACAACACTCTCAACTATTAGAATTCTACATATTAAATAGATTCTATAGGGTTAAAGAGGATCAGTACTCAGAACTAAAAGAGATCAAGTCAGAAGTACCGCAGGGTAGGGTAGTAGGACCGATAATTTATTATCTTTTTTTTAAGATAAAATCCATATGCCATATCATATCTTTGTCAATGGAGATCATTTTTGTAGTTAAATATGGCTGCACTAATTAAAAAGAAACTGAACTTAAAGCATGTGACCAGTTTGTTATTCGCAGATTGCCCAGCGATCTATCTAATTCATCATCATCATCAGTAGCCGTTTTGAGTCCACTGCTGCACATAGGCCTTCCGTAAATAATTCTATTGCTTCCGCTCTTAAGCAGCTTGAATTTAGTTGTGCCCAATGCGCTTGATGTCATCCAAACGTCTTCTTGTTTGGGATGTTCTCGATTTAGATAAACATAGTGTCTAGGTTTCCATTCTAAGATTTCCTTGGCCCATCTTCCATCTCTGACTCTGGCAACATGGCCTACCCGATTCCATTTCACCATTTCTTTTAACTGCGTCTGTAACAGCAGTTTTTCTCTATCTATCTGATTTGAAACTCTGTCTTTAGGGGATACATTCAACATATTCATAATCATTTTACTTATTACTTTTTAGGTAAGGGTCAGTGTTTCTACTCCATACGTTAGAATCGGAAGGATACAGTGATCAAAGAATATCCTTTTCAAGCACACGAGAATATCTGTGTCTAAAGACTTCCGTCAGTTTTCCGTAAGCAGATTGGCCATTTATTATGTTTTAGAAAAGTTAATTATAAGGTGAACTTGTTTACAAGAGCTCTGAAGGTCTTGAAGAAGCTAGCATGCATAATCTACCCAGTCTGCAATAAGGACTATGTCGTTCGCAAACCTCAAGCTATTTAGAAGCTCCCCATTTATGCTGAATCTAATAGTTTCTTTTGTTTATCATAACACTCTGCAACAAAGCAGTGTATAGTTTAGGAGATATGGTGTCTCCTTACCTAATATCTTTCTCCAAGGGACGTGTCTATGATCAATAGACATATACTATGTATATCTATGATAGATACTGCACTGTGTAAGAGCTCTTAACATTGAGCTTTGTGAAATTGTTCTTGGCTCAAGCTTCTCTATCAAGGACCTTATTAGTTGTAGGTGGTCATGCGGTCCAAAGCTACTACTAAATCCGGCTTGTTCTAGTAGTTGGTGAAAATCTAGCTCAGATCCCAGTAATTATTCTCATAAATAACTTATCTAAACGATCTCTCTAAACAGCCTTCTAGTGTTAACTCACAGTAAATAATGATGTCACTGGTGTTCTACCATCCAAAGATTGAAATAGTGTCTATGCCCCCTTGGTTTCTTTTGTTTTTTCTAATCATCTTTCGTTATCTTTTCTTTGTCGCATTTATTTTATGTTTTTGCTTTGCAAATTCTTGTAAATTCTGATAAACATTAAGGGCATATAAAATGTATAGAACCAGTGCTGCATTTAGTGCGAGCAATAAGTACTTGTGAGAGCAAGAGAAGGACGCAAATAATGGCTAATCTGGTGCTAAATCGTAATATTGCTATTGATGGAAAGGATATTAAGCAGACTGTGTCGTAAAAGGAAAGGGTATTAAGCAGACTGTGTCGTAAAAATACTTAGGGCATGGAATTTGGTTGGGCAGAGATATCCGGACATACGACTTCCTACGTCACACAGGATTAACATAGTACTTAAATAGGACCTGTCTATATGCCTCAAAAGGAAAAATGTTAGACCACTGTGTGTTACCTGTGCTCACTTATGGAGCGGAAACATTTAACACTCACAAAAATGGTAGTAAACAAGATTCGCGTGACTCAGAGGGCTATGAAGCGCAAGATGTTGGGTGTCTCGCTGAGAGACCGAATCCCAAACGAAGAAATACGTCGTAGAAGAAAATCGACAGACGCTATTAAAAAAATCACGTCGCTAAAATGGAATTGGGTGGGATACGTCATCACATTATCAGACAACCGACGAACAAAACGTATTGTCGAGTGGAGGACAAAACAAGAAACGCTATGGAGCAAAGACCGCCTACCAACCAGATAGATTGACGAACTGAAGCGTGTTAACAGTAACTGGATGCAAGCCGCACAAGAAAGAGACAGATAGAAAGAACTGAGAGACTTATAACCAATAGTGGACGCGTACAGATTGATGATAATGACAAGATAATATCTACTTAAAAATCTTCATTTCATATTTGAAATAACTGAAATGTTCGTAAGCTAAGTTAGCTTACTAGATATTGTCCCAATTAATAAATAATATATTTATTAACTAACTTACCTCTTCAAATATTTGTGGTGTATACTTGGGTGGTACAGGAATAGTGTGCATTCTTCCGTGAGGTTCCCTAATTGTAGGAGGTAGAATATTAACCAGTCTGCCAGTATTGTAATTACATTCGAGGGTATAACTTTTAATGATTCCAGTCAACGATAATACAGCCACTCTACCGGAACCAGCTCTACTCATTCCATCTCTTTTATCCCTACAAAAAGATATATTATAGTCAGTTCACTCAGCTTCGAAATATTTTTATGGAAACATACAACACACAAATGCCTACCGCACCTTATTAATACCTGAAATAAATTTTCTGTTATAGATTTCTTTAATAGAAAAAAAAATAGATTAAACATGAATAAAGGAAATCTATATTCATTAATTTTGGTTAAAGACTTTCTATTTCAAAATACTAATTTATAGACAACTAAATAATTTAAAAAATAAACATTTAAATATTTGTTTTAATTGATCCAGTTTTATTTCGTTATAAACTAAATGTGAATAATTTTTTACTCACTTTTACTCTTTTACTTTACATTACAATTAATATTGGCTAGGAGCTCATTAACTTGGTTGTATAGTAACTTCTAACCACTTGAAGGAAAATTTGACCAACAACAAAAAAAATTAGTAATTATAAATTTACTAGACAGTTGGGACTGGGACACGACTCTGTGTACAGAGCATAACAAAATATCTATTGGATCTCATAAAAATAGAAAGAGTGAGATGAACAAGACCATTAGAACAATCACAACAGACCAACCTTCTCAGATGAATTAATATCTCACAGCCCAGAGAATGTAGACGTAGAAGTATGCCGAAACTTAGATATATGGATGATGTGGATGAGGAAGCTAGGAAAATTAGTGCTTTAAAAAGGCAACTGTTGGTGGACTAAATGATTAAGAAGACATGAGAAGATGGTTTCTCTCTTTTAGGGTTGTAGTACACAAGTAATGATAATTTAGGCTTTATTCATTTGCTTTATGCATTAACGATTTTTTAAAAATTAAAAATACATATTACTTATCCTAACCCGAAATTATTAAATGGATATGCTATATACCTAAAAAAGCTAAGCAACATACAACAGAACTAAATACTGGAAATCTGATTGTATGGATATACGAGGCCAAAAAGTTTAAAAACTCTTAGGCCCTGTCCACAACGCCTCATTTAGAAACCGATTGGGCTCGCAACTGTTTTGTGAACTTGGCAGCGTAGAGGAATCGGGATTCACCCACAAGGCGATTCTGCTAAAACTGGTTTTCAATCAGTCTAAAACCGGTTTTATTTTACCCTCCTTCCGTGGTCTCAGTTGCGTAAAAATGAGTTAATTAAGAGTTAACTGAGTTAAGAATTAAACCTGAAATTCGTCAGAGAAGTTGGGAAACATGAAGAGTTATACAATTATAATCTTTCTGATTACCCAAGGAAAATATTACTGAAAGTATTTATTATTCAACATACTCTCGTATTAACTGATACATTTATTACTTTTAAAACCTTTTAAAAAAACTTATCTTGCTCTGAAAACCAAGCCAAAAACTAAGGTAAGAACTTTTCCGGCAGATGTTTGCCTTGCAGAACTAGAGTGTCTCCATTCCATTGATTGCTGCTTTGTAGAAACGTACCAAAGTTTCACCCCTAGTAACAACATTGCTTAAGAAGTGTGCCTCTTTTCGAGGTAAACTAGTCTGATAAAATCTATTAAACTAATGACGTTAAGCATGTCTTCGTAAATCTGTTTACCTGTTGTAACGATATCGCCGTCGAATGCCGTCATCGCTTGCTAACAGTTCTTTGTGTGCCCGCACTAAAACCAACAATTGACTACTACCACCGATAAACGCTGGAAATTGAGCACCGGACAACAATATAAAATTCGCGCAGAGACGAGAACTGCAAAACCTCCGGAGGGACGGAACCCCCCGAGTAGTGATCAGAGCCTACCGTCCTTCCCGTTCCTGAGGTCGAATATTGACTGATCGCTTCCGTCATCCTTCCGTACTGCACCTCACCTTGGCCGAGCATTGATCGGCCGTTCCCCGATCTTTGGGTATTGATTAAAGACGTTCCTTCTTCATACTCAACCGAACACCGCTAACATGCGTCGTGTACCGAAGTCCATTAACAGGGTTACACTGTTAACCCATTCAAATTCAAACAATGGTTTGACTTTCAAGACACCCTCGTAATATGGATTTTTTATATGCCCTAAGACTATTAAGGGAGTATTACCGTCAAGAATGCTACTGTCGTCTCCGGGCGATTATTAGTAAACGTAGGAAATTGAAATGCATCTTGGTGCCATAACCATGTTTACTAATATCATCTAACTATTGCGCAATATTGTGCAATATTGCGTAGTTAGCCGGTACGCTCTGTTTTGGTCATTATCTTGTAAAAGACAATGCTGCAGGTGGTGTAGGTACTTTAAAAATGAAACACAGTATTTCTAAGTAGAAAAAAACTCAGCGTCAGAGTCTTTTACGGTTTGGTGTGAAAATTGCCGAGTCCTCCAGTGAGGAGCTCGACGGCTACCCGCTGAGGGTAAAACCGGTACTGAGAGCGAGATCCGAAAATGTCCCATATTTAAAGTATTTTAACTTTTATATGAAACCTTTTCATTTCTCGACCAATTAAAATAATTAAAAGTTTTAAAAGTTAAAAAAGGGAGGACTAGGCAAAGTCGAGGCGCGTGATTGGTGCGCCTGGACGTCACTACTAAAAATCGAACAACGAAATTCTTATCCTGTAACGATAATATCAATTTATAATAATTTCTTGTAAAATTATTGAATGGTCCATATGGTCTATGTTCTTGATACAGAAATCTAAACGTTAAGGAAGCAAAACATTTAAAGAACATACGCGAATAGGCGTGAATCTATGTCGCCATAAAAAAATTATAGCGAAAAATAGAGTTGGTTTAGCAACAGCAGAAGGACTCCAACCATTTCAGAAAAGAAACAGAGACTAGAATTAAATACAATTATACTTACTTCAGGTACATATTTCTCTCCGTAAAATTACACGCATGAAAGTGGAAATTGTGGTTATTCATACTCATCAACTTGGGTAACAACATGCACTCCACGTTCCTGTCAATATCGTCGAAATGGTTGCCATACATAAAGATACCTTTCTTCGACGCGTGCCCGTGCAAATCAATATACAAAAAGAGGCCGGACTCATTCGAATTTATATCACCATGGGCTCCTACTACTACCTTCTCGAACTGTACTTCTTCTTTACTCGGTGTGTGTTGTAGTTGTGTTCCGCAGTTTCTACAAAAATTGTGCCCTGAAAGTAACAACAGATTAGATTTAACTTTTTTCAAATGAGTCTATAATTTACAATTTAGTTGTCACTTTGAGTGGAGGTAATGACATTCAAGTAATACTATATACCAAACAGAAACCGAATCAGATATCACGTTAGAAGAAATTGATACTAATATAAAGAAAATATCACAGCATTAAAGCTCCTGGTTTATATGTATAGTAGCCTCGTATTTCCGTGAGACTGTGCAAAAATATAATTATGTATCTGTAATAAACTCATTCAACAAAAAGGTACTCTACCAGGAGTCTGTAAAATTATCAGTGACTCAGACGTATAATAATACAAAGTTTCCAGATTCCACTCGATATTAACATTCAGACGTGCCTGGTATAATCTTTTAAAATATGAACCAGATATGAACAATCAACCAATTAAGTTTTCATCGAACTTATGACAAGTCCACGTGGACTAACGGCCAATGAAAACTTCGGATATCGCTGTTATGACAAATCATAATGCATTATCTTTTGTCGGTAGACTTATTCATACTTGGGGTAAGATTATATCAGTATTTGACTGAGCTTACGGAGTCATAAAATAAGGGATCAGGTTTCGACCGTCCAGTGCCGAAGGCACGGGACGGGGAAAACTTAGGTAGGCAAATTTTTATATTTTATTTTTAAATTGCGGAGATGACCAACAGATTTTTGGGAGACAAGAATATTTTTAGTAAAATCATAACTGCTATAGCGTTCAGTTAAATTCAAATTTCAAATAGTGAACGGCAAGTTAGTTTGGTAGTGACTTTTTTCAGTGTTCTTTATACAGAAAACATTTTGTATTTTACGTTTTTTACTTTTTTTGATACGTTTTTATTGATTATGTTTTTATACGTTTGATAATTTTAAAATATTGCGCCCGTAGTGCGATAATAATTATGTAGCTGAAGAGACAATGGAATCCTCTAATCGATTGGAAGATTTACAAAGGCGTGTAGTAAAACGTAAGCGCCATTTTTAATACCTTTCTGATGATGCCAAACGTATGCTAAAAAATGTTTATGAAGGACTGTGTGCTGAATTGTCTAATTCAGAGGCAATTGCAGAAACATGTTTTTTAACCAGAGTGCCCAAAGCAACCCACTACAAAATTATAGGAGAAACATCTTCTTCTAGACAGAAGAGAAAGGATTGTGGCATATTCAGAAAAATAGAACCGCACTTAATTGAATCTATAACTAGAACAATATACCAAATGTATGCGGCTAATATTTTTCCAACTATTGAAAGCCTTCGAAGTGAATTAGTCTCTCGTGTTCAGCAACAACACTTCGATTATTTCTTAAAGCCAATAATTTTAACTACAAAACTATAGACAAGAGACAGACATTAATGGAAAGTACTAGAATAATTTCTTTAAGAAACAATTATATCAGACAGATAACTGAGTATCGAAAAATGAAACGAAATATTGTTTATTTAGATAAGACCTGGTATGATACTCATGACACCGTGAAAAAAAAGTTGGACAAATAATAACAAAAAGTGTTTCAACTCAGTACCGCCCAATAAAAGAAAGATAATTATTATTTTACACTGCGGTGAAGAGAATGGATGGGTCGACGATGCATTATTAATATCTGCAAAACAAATTAAAAACGCGTCTCTGGATTATCATGACGATATGGAAAGTTCAATTTTTGAATCATGGTTTGAAAAATGTCTTCTTCCGAAATTACTTAAAGATAGTGTGATTATCATGGACAACGCATCATATCATTCAAGATTAATAAAAAAAACTTCAAATAATAGTTGGAATAAATTAAAAATTCAGGATTTTTTATTCACGGAAGATTTGTATTTTGAGACATCTTATATTAAAAAGCAATTGTTGGAGGTTGTTCATAGTAAACAGTACGAAAAGGAATATGTTGTTGACAACTGTGCTCGTAGTAACGGGCATACTGTGTTTAGACTTCCTCCTTATTATTGTACATTAAACCCAATAGAGTTAATATGGGCTCAACTTAAAGGAAATATAATGAGAAGAAACCTCCAAAAATTTTTGTCTACTGTTCTCCAGTTAATTAGAAGAGAAGTCACAAAAATTACAGCAACCAACTGGAAAAATGTAATAAAAATAAAACATGTGATCGGAGTGGAAAATAACTATGTTAAATATTTACCATCATTAACCAAATTACATATAAATTTAGATGATACGAGTGATACTAGTCATAACAGCGATTCTGAGTAGATAGTAAGTACTTATTAGGTGTTAGTTGAAACCTTTATTTCTATTTTAATTGTAGATATTCTCATTTTGCTTCACCCTTTATACCCTGTTTCATCTTTGAAAACAGGGTATAAACACACTTCTTGATAGGACAAAAATTATTAATGTTTTAGGGGAGGATGTCAACTGAAACTGTCACTGTCATTCTCGCTGAATAACTACTATTATTAACAATGTTTTATATAGATATTATTATTTTACAATAAGTTCTGTTCAGTCGAGTCGATTAGTGTTATCACTTCCAAGATATACCACAGAAGTTAAGAACACCGATATTTTTTATTTATACTTTATAGAAAATGAAACTTTTTGGTAAATAAAATTAAATAAAAGTAAGAACTTTTATTTAATTTAAAATTAGATATCTACGCTACTGTTCTACTACTATAAATTACAATAAAGGAGTGGTAACTCTAACAGCGTTGCCATTTTACTAGTATTTTGCTTGTTTTGGTCTCTGTAAATTTTCTCACGAAATTACGTGCCGACTATACACGAGACGTACATCAAAGGACTAAGATACGAATCTACAAGACCATAATCTGACCGATAGTGAGCTATCGATGTGAATATGTGAATCTTGGATATTGAAGCAAAAATCAATAAACCTCATTGGACATCATTGAAAGATAGGTACTGCGACCAATACTGGGTCCTACAAACGAGAACAACAGGCGAAGAATCAGATACCATTATGACATATATAATATATAAAAAAACCAACCTTTATCTTAGTATCTTCGCCTACAGCGTCTTCAATTTTTCAATTCATTCAACATTTAGAATAGAAGAAAACAGGCTTCCAAAGAAATTGTTGAATGCAAGAATGAAGGAGAAGAGACCTATTGGGAGAGGAAGAGAAGGATGAGGATGCAAGAAATCTTCTACAGCCTATAATAAATAGAGAGGTTTGCTCAGGGACACCAGGTCTCAAATTGGGATGTAGAGCTATAGGATGGATTTAATATGTAACTCCATAATGAAGTGTTGAGAAAATAAAAGAAACTCGTTTAAAAAACACGTTTTACGTCAACTCGTATAGACAACTGTGAAATTTCTGGATAATAAGTCATAGAATGCAATAAATATAGACGAATTTCAAGTGAAGATAACCTCTTCATATATCTCTTGTTCGTAGATTAAAGTCTTCGATAACGTGCGTGGCATTTGCGTTAGCTAATCCTTGTTAACACGAACATACCTATTCACTTGGTTAAACAAGTCCAATATTTGTATAAAGACAATCACAATGACTACATATTATTGCCAAGAATATATTTAATCTAGGACATGTAGCGAATATATAAAGAGACTGGTTTTAGACTAGTGGGAAGGATGTATTTTAGTTGGATGTATGGTAGTTTTTATAACCCAAGGTGAGAAAGAGTTGGTATTACTATTAGAAAAACTAAAGAGTTAGTGAGGAACAAGAACTACGGATTTCTAAAAATATGATAAAATTAATTATTATCGATAAAGCCACAACAAATTTCTGATGTTAGTTTTGACCAAATATTACAATAGTCAAAAATAATACTGTCAAATTAAACTTAACAAAAATAATTGTTTTTGTCCATACAACATTCCCTTAGCTACAACAGTCCCTTGTCACAGGGTTGCAAAAAATTGTCCTTAACTGAAAAACCAAGAGGAAAGTGGTTTTTTTAAACTACATATTTAATTTACTATTGCCTTCATTTTATTAACAAATATTTTCAATATTGTAACAATAAAACACTGAAAACTTTGTTTTCAAACTTCCACAAAATTTATTTTAAATCTTATCACTACAACTGTTTCGGCTGATTGCCTTTCTCAAGTGATCTATTTTTGGCTTGGGTTTACAAATTTATAGTCTCTAATGAAATAGGTTGAGGAGGGGAGAACTGTTTGTCTCAAGTTGGTCATTCAGAATTATATCTGTGTTTTTTAATTTGTTGATTTCTATAGATTCTAACAAAGATAGCTTAAGGCCTTTATTTTGAATGTGAAGAATTTTAAATTTGTCATTAAAAGAATGATTATGATCTAGAAAGTGAAGTGCGTATGTCGAATCTGTTTTTCTATTCTTGAAAGCCCTTTTATAAGGACTTATAATGGGTAATCCTCTAAGCCCATTGCTATCAGATATTTTTATGGATCATCTAGAGACAGTTTTGTATAGAAAATTTCCAAATTGCCGAGAAACACCCATATATTATAAGTGTAACGAAATGTTTAGATGGACCCACACCTCGGTTATCCAAAGGAAAAACCAGTCCAAACCTACAAGACGATTAGAGTAGATACCTGGAATAGAAAATAGTAAAAATCATTCCTCAAAATTAGCGCCATCTTTATGTTGAGTCGCGTAGTTATCGAGTATATATTATGGTGAATTGTTGAACCCCAGCAATTAAATGTATGTTTATCCTTTTGAGTATTTGCTTTTTAATGTAAAATATGTTATTATTGACTGGAGAGAAAATTTGTTTAGTTTAGTTATTTGCATTCTAATGTGATGTTAGTGCTTCTTAAAGTTAAAACAATAAAGTTATGCCCACGAATTCTACGTTATAATCATCTTAATAATAAATTACTTGTGCTATGTGTCGAGATCTACAACTATTCGCTACAACTTTTAGAAAACCGTTACATGCAAACAATATTCGAACCTCCAACAATCCTACCTAACGCAGTATTTAAGTTGAAAGTAGGAATAATGCTAGATATTCCAGGCATGGTATCTTCCAATTTAATTATGTTAGTCTTACATTTTGTGCACCACGTTTGAGGGATATTGTCTTCGTTTAAAGATATTCGAGAGACTTTTTTTCTTATGGCATCGTCTTTAACGTCATTCTCCGTCCCTTCTGTTTGGGAACCTGGCAAACATGTTTTGCAATTATCACATTTCGGGATATAGTCTTCTTTTTCGTAGCCAAAATGGTAAAACCTAAAAATAATAAATATAGTTAGACAGAAACTAACGATGAGATATGATACGATGTAGCTATGTCAAACTGTAGAATAGTTTATTGCTACTCTCCATCTTTGATGAGCAGAAGCATGGTATATACTGTAATATGAACTAATAGAACGTCGCTGAATCAGCTTTGACAAATTATTAGAGATAAAATTAATGTTGGGTTAAGGACCATATTGGACTCAAATGTAACGAATATATCGACTATTTAGCTAAGATCAAAGTAATATCAGGCTCTTCATTGCTATATTGCTTAAATACATCATACAGTACGTTCAGTTTTAAATTAGATATGTAGATAACAGCGTAGATTTTTAATTTATTTTTGTAAACATGTCAGTTTATATTTGACATGTTTACCATGGAGACCAATTTCTACGTACAGTCAATTCATATTATTGTTAAAAATGTTGATAGTTTTATTTGCCTCAAAAATTGCAGAAAATGTCGCGCTCAAGAAGTGTCACCAGAAGACGGCTGTTCAGTTCACAACTCTCGAATAATTAAGGAGTTTTTAAACAATACCTTCCCGAATCGAATTATCAGTGGAACAGGCGAGATATTAAGTGGCCCGTGCGATCGGGATTATCCTGAGAATCCTTAAAAAATCTAATAACGGAAGTTTCCAATTCTGTTACAGTAGAAACTCTTTCATCTGTCCGCAGAAGTTTTATGACATATTGGGATACTATTCAGCCGTAGGTCAAATATTTGAATCATTTTTGTAAAGCATAAAGAAATATTTCTTATTTTATTAGGAATTATTTTTTATTTTCAATGAGACTATATTTTTTGTTTTATCTTTTTAAAGAAACGCGCTTTTATTTTTAATTCCACTACAAAAAATTGTTCACATTGTTAAAAACCGATACAAATGCACCGCCTGACAAAGGTCAGTGTATTTTTATCGAGTTTACTCTAAGAAATGCACCGGTTATACGTAATAAAAGTTTTTATTTCTATCTATCTATTATTACATCTCCATCCTTCGATCATGTATATCCTATGCTTTGTTGTGTTACTAAATGATTTTCTGTCGTGTGGTGACGGAGGGGATCGGAGAGTTACATACAAGCGCGTTGTAGTTTGAAGCAATGTTGCCGATTTGACCTGAAGCGCTTTATGTAGTGTGCAAGATCTAATCCAAAGCGTAACGTACTATATATACGATATAAAATTGCCAAACTTAGTGTTCCTTCTTGTTGGGATTGATTAACAGAAAGTTGCTGCCCGTATTAAGTAAGTTATTTTAAAAACAAAACATATCTTACCTTATTAAAGCCCTAGCAGCATATACGGAAGGATGATCAGTTAAACTAGGATTTAGATAAACCCTATTTAAATTCACCCCACGACTATCAGTTCGATAATGACCTCTTGAGACGCCGTCTGGATTTAGAAATGGTATCAGTTTGAATACATACATTTTACGTAAAGTCTGTGCTATCAAATCGTCTTTACTTAACAGCAAACTCAACAGACCATTAAATACGAAACTAGAAGGTGTCTCGCCTGGGTGAACTCTGGCAGATACAAATATTACCTGAAAAAAAAAAAAGATAAAAATTGATATAAAACATCAGAATTTTTATAATAATGCCTTAGAATAATTTGCACAAATAACACAGGCCAACGAAAAAGAATATTTAAAAAACTTTTCTTACAAATTTATGTGAATCCTATGTATGTTTTTGGCGCTAAAAAAGAATCTGAAATTAGATTTTATGTATCACCCACAGTTTTCCCACAATATGGCGCTGGCTTATTCTACAATATAATAATTTGAATTACACAAAATACCGGAATACATTAAAATGATACATTGTTAGAAAAATGCCTTTTATCTAATGTTTATCTTTTCACAGTATAGGTCTGTAGAAGCATTTCAGGAGTCAATGCTTTTGTATTTTCATTTTCTTTTTTTTTTCTGTAAAACTTCTCAAGTAGCTTTCTCTCCTATGCGAGGCACTCTGTTGTTCCCGATGATGTGACCAACAGTAATCACCCATCATTTTGGTGTTCCAACATCCCTCGTATGGTTGCTCCATCACCTTGATATCCTGGTAGAAGCGTTCGCCTCATTATTCACTGACTGCAGCCAGATTCTCAAGGAAATGATCAAGATGGTTATGCAAAAGTTGGATTTTGAGGTTCATTCGACATTCCAAATCTTAAATCTTATCTAAAATCTTAAAAAACTTATCTAATAAATTAGCTGCTATAAGCTCGTAGTTAGGTCTTTCATATTACCAAAAAACTTGGTTACAACTTTTTGGAATCCAATCCAAGCTTCTTTTTCCTTAGTAGTAATCTTGGCCTCAAAGGTAATTATGCAATTTTAAATGTTAAATTGTGAAAGAATGGTGGGTGATACAGCATGTTTAATATGATTTTCGAACTGAGCACACCAAAATACATAAGATAGAGGTAATTTTATCAAAAAAGTTTTTTCATCGTTGGCCTGTGTAATTAGTTTGGAATGCAGATATTTACCAGTGCATCATTACTTAAGGCACATACAATATAAGTCGAATGAACCTTGAACAAATACAAGATATCTCAATGTACTTCATTAGCTTCTAACATTTATCTTATTTATATATAAGGCGACTAATTTCATTGCAAAAAATTTTGAATTTATTTAAAAATAATCTCGGTTTCGTTGCACTTTGTATGAGTAATTCTAAATTATACACGTTGGCGATCACCATTTCGAAAGCTTCTCGATTTTCTACCACATGGAATAAGTGTTCTGCATTTGATATCTGAGTCCACTCACGAATTTTTTTTACCCAAGAAACGCCTTACTACTTCCTCATTCGTTTTTCTCCAGCGTATCTTCAGCATCCGTCTATGCATCCACATTTCCAACGCTTCAATTCTGTTCATGCTTAATAATTTTAGTGTCCAGACTTCTGCTCCATACAACAGTACAGAGCCAATATAGTACTTAAATCATTATTTGACTTAGTCTTTGTCTAAACTGAGATGATTATTACAAAGAAATGTCTTCATTTTCATAAAAATCGTTTACAATATAATGATGATTATATTTTTCTGATTATTACACCATGTTGACGCCTATGAAAGATCGAGTAGTTCGGTATGGGTTTCGTATTATTAGCTGTGTTAGGAAAATTTGAACTCTAAGGTTGATTTTGAAATTTTAAATACAAGTGACGCCACTTTGTATAAATCGTGACGTGCAGGTTTTTTACTTTGAAAAATGGTATACTTTAGGAATTCCACAAAAAGATATCATGCATCTTCTACAATTTAGGATCAAAGTTGGCCCTCATAGAAGTCAACTCTTTCAATAACCGAAAACGGGGAAAACCTTCAAGCGATACATCTAGTCTATTAGAAGCTGCAAAACGCCAAAACATTGAAATTAGACTTCTTACCGAGGTGTAATTTGATAAGACGCAAAAACCCTGGTTTTACAGGAAAATCAAGAAGGCACATTTGTGTCTTCAAAAGAAAAGAAATTGCTTTTTTATGTTTAATATGCACTAGTTCTTGAGAATTATTGTCAAGCTCTTTAACGACATCTATGATACGGGCCAGATTCCAAAAGATTGGCTTCGATCTACATTTATCGCCCTACCAAAAACACCACGTGCGAACTTCTGCAAGGACCACCGACTAATAAGCCTAATGAGTCACTTTTTGAAACTTTTCCTGAGAATACTTCACACTAGATTGTTTAAGAAATGTGAAGAGGTCAGTGGATGGAGTCAGTTTGGTTTCAAAAATGGACTTGGCACGAGAGAAGCGATCTTTAGTATGCAAACATTGAAACAGAATTGTTTAGATCAAAGAAAGGATGTTTTTATCTGTTTCATCGATTACGAGAAAGCATTCGATAATGTAAAACATGAATTGATGATAAAATACCTACAAGAGTTGGGATTGGATGCAAAGGATATAAGAATCATCGCCAATCTGTATTGGAATCAGACAGCAACAGTACGTCTTCAAAATTCCAACGAAACAGAAGATTTCTCCATTAAAAAAGGAGTAAGGCAAGGTTGTATACTGTCCCCAATGCTGTTCAATTTATACGTAGAAAAAGCCTTCGCAGAAACAGTGGAAGACTCTAATAAGGGTATTAAAGTTAACGGCATATTTATTAATAACATCAGGTATGCCGATGATACAGCCATAGTGGCAGATAACATCGAAGATCTTCAATGCCTTTTAAATGATCTAACTTATGAAAGTGAAGCTCGGGGTTTGAAAATAAATATCAAGAAGACAAAATCAATGATTATAAGTAGAAATGATTACCCCAACGCAAAGATATATGTCTCTGGAGAAGAAATCGAACAAGTCAGGCAATTCAAATACTTGGGATGTTTGCTGAATGAGGGTTGGGACCCCGAGAATGAAAAAATAAAGAGCAGAGTTGAACAAGCCAGAAATGCTTTTTTGAGGCTTCGTAAGTTTCTGACTGATCGCAAATTGGACTTCAACCTCCGATACAAGATTCTTAAGTGTTACGTGTGGCCTGTTCTCCTGTACGGAATGGAAGCATGGACGTTAAAGGCCAGTTCCATTAACAAACTTGAAGTGTTCGAAATGTGGTGCCTGCGTCGAATGCTCAGAATATCATGGACGGACAGGGTCAGAAATGAGGAAGTACTCAGAAGAGCGGGCTTACAGGATAGGGAACTTTTTAATTATGTAAAAAGTAAGAAGACTGCATACTTGGGGCATATTATACGAGGAGAACGATACACTTTTCAGCAACTGATACTCGAAGGGAAGATAGAGGGTAGGAGAGGTCTCGGACGTAAAAACATGTCATGGCTGCGCAATATTCGACAATGGACAGGAATCCACAGCTATGAAATGCTTCGCAATGCTGCTAAAAACAGAATTATTTAATCCAGAATATTTAACATCTCACCTGACAAGACGATGTACGGTGGACGCCTACGCAGAAATGCACGGCACCTTAAGAAGAAGAAGAAGTTCTTGAGATTTGTTAAGTACTTGTGGGTACAAATGAACCCATAATAATTTTTTGTATATATAAATAATATATTTTTTTAATGTACAAAAAGTGTTATATAAGAACTGTTTTATGTACATTTTAGGAAAAAATATTCTTTCGTATGCTGAAAAAAAATCGGTACTGAAAGGGTTAAAAGTGGTCGTTCATTCAATTTAAAAAATTATGTATATTGATTACACTTATTAGTGTGGTAAATATTATTTTGTAACATGATAAGTTATTAGTTTGTTTCCCAAATCAGATTATAATTCTTATAATTTTTGTTTGTTTTAAAAAATATTGTCTTTGTTCTTACAAAAAAATTTAATAAAAAATCCGCAAAAAACCTAAAATCTATAGTTCTTTAAATATGTACAAAAAGCAACATGGTATTTATGTACAATCCTATACCAAAAGAAAGGTTGTAATATTTTCTACAAAATACAATACTAATACAGGTCTGCCGAACTTCTGCCAATTAGGTGCGCTACGACCAGTGTAAATCAGACTGCTTTCAGAGAAAAAATATTTTGCGTGTTTTATACAATCTGATACTGTTTATTTTCGCCATAATAGAATAGATCCATAGAATAAATTGCTTACCTTTTTTCCGGGAAATTTAAACGGCCTAGGAACTGTACTTTTATTAAACAAATGTTTCAATTTCTCTTCCCTTTCTTTTGAAATCCCATGGTATGACGATAGTGTTATTAGATCTATAGGTTTTCCATCACAAGAATGACACACAGTTTCTCTAACATAGTATATATCATCATCAGCGACGTGTTTGACATGTAGATACTTGCTATCTACGTTGGTCAACATCTTTTCTAGCTCTGTTACCGAAAAAGGGTAAGTAAACGCAAAATATACTATGCTATCTACATTATCAGGGGTTCGAAATTTAAAACTGAGGGTGAATATGTCGTCACTAAGCTGAAAAATATAAAAGATTAAAAATAATTATACATTTTCATTACTATTATACAAACATAATTATGTATTATAATGGACAATATATTAATACAGTGGAAGCTCGAGGTGGACATAATGGTATGTATCAACTATAGAAGTATTACCCTCCACAAAATGGCACACAAAATACTATCGAATGTAGCAGAATGCTCGCCGAACAAACTGTCAACCTAATAAATCTACAACTGATCAAATATCCATGGTGAGACAGATTCTTGAGAAAACCTTAGAATTTGACGTTGATACCCACCATATGAAGAAAAAGGCCACAGCTCCGGACGAAATACCCGTTGAAGTTATTAAGGTGATGAGTGTAGTGAGCACAAAGGAGTTAACTGAACTGTTTAACGCGATATACGATTCAGGTAATATCTCAGAGGAATGGCTATTGTTAAAATTTGTAACACTACCAAAAAAACGATCTGCGAAAACGAGTCATGCACTCAAGATTTTTCTTAAAATCATGCATGCCAGAATTTACAAGAAATGCGAAGAAAATTTCGGTGAAATGAAATTTGGATTCCGCAATTCCATGGGTACACGTGAAGCACTTTTCACCTTACAAGTCCTACTTCAGAGATGCCGCGATATCAAATATACTGGAATCAGCGTGCTCAAATCAAGGTCGAAGACCAGCTGACCGACCAAGTGAAGATCATGCGAGGAGTAAGGCAAGGCTGTGTGCTCTCGCCGATTCTTTTCAATATATACTCTGAGGAAATTTTTACTGAAGCCCTCACAAACCAGAGATGGGAATCCGAGTGTACGGAGAATACATCAATAATATCCGCTACGCCGATGACACTGTGTTATTAGCAACCAGTCTAAATGATCTACAAGTCTTACTAGACCGAGAGAGAACTGTGAGCGTAACATACGGACTAGACCTTAATATTAAGAATACTAAATTCATGGTTGTCAGCCGTGCAAATTTAGATCACGGGGCACTAGTGGCAGCTAGCGAAGAGATCCAGAGTCGACAGATTCACTTACCTCGGAGCTACTCTCAACTCATAATGGGACTACGCTCAAGAGATTAGATCAAGAATTGAAATGACACGGTCTACATTTATCTAGTTGAGATCCTTGCTGTGATGCAGTGATCTCAGTTTGGGAACCACGATGCGGATAGTGAGGTGCTACATTCTTCCAGTGTTACTATATGAAGTTAAAGCCTGGACGCTAACGCAAGCCATAGAAAAGCGGATTGAAGCCTTTGAGATGCGGATCTACAGAAGGATACTAAAAATATCGTAGGTTGACCATGTCACCAACGTAAAGGTACTACAGCTCATGAGAAAAGAAAAAGAAGTGCTTAATTTAGTGAACAACGTAAACTTGAGTACCTCGGGCACGTGATGCGGAACGAAGAAAAATATCGAATTCTTTAACTCGTTATGCAGTGTAAAGTATTTGGCAGGAAAGGACCGGGACACCGTCGTATCTCGTGGTTAAAAAACCTCCGACAATAGTTTGGGATGACCTCGCGGAGCTGATTCGCAGAGCAGTCAACAAAACCTTGATAGCCTTGATGATTGCCAACATCCACCATATATTCGTGGATATCAAGGCAGTCTATAACTCAGTAGATATGCAGACGCTGTTCCAGGCTATGCTGGAATTCCAAATACCATTCCAGCTTGTTAAACAAGCGAAACTACGGACATAAGCTTTTCGGTCGTTAAGGACTACTGCACTGAAAATAAATGCACAAAAAAACGAAATATATGTGTGTCTGCAATACTGGTAATCAGAGACCTAGACCAATATTTGATGATATTAAGTTAAAAGGTGTGGACACCTTCATATAGTTACCTAGTAACCTAGATTCGTTACTAACTAAGGACAACATCAGCGAAGAAATTAAAAGAAGAATAGTTCTTGCCAATAAGTGTGACTATGGCCTGAGAAGGCAAATGACCTCAAAACTTGTAACACTAATAAGACCAGTTTTTACATACAGAGCTGAAATGTGGTCACTCACACAGAAATACCAAGTGCAATCTCAACAGTAATCTCAGAAATCGAATAATTGGCTTATGGAATTTCAATGGAAAAGCAATATTAAAATTGTACGACCAAAAACGTTCTAGTAGGGTCCAGTTCGGGCAGTCGAACTGAAACCTGCTGCAATTATATTAACACATCATATGAACATACTATTTAGAGCAAGTGATGGATAGCTCTGGCGTTTTCGCAAAAAAGCACAGAATCAGGAATAAGAGAATTTACGCCGAAGCTTTAAGTGCACCAAAAAAAGAAATTGAATTATTTGGGCAAAAATTAATAGAACATAATAAGTAACGAAATGCTAGTAGAATTTCATATTTAAAATGCTAACGAAACTAGTTTGTTATGGTGAAAGGCAACTAATGCAGAAAAAGGGATATGAGAAGCTAGATGGAAACTAAAGCGCTGACGAACTACAAAAATCAAATAAAGAAATATCCAAAGCTGTTAGACAAGACACTCGAAAATACAACCAAGAACAAATCGAACATACCATTGAGAACAATAGAAGTATGAAAGTATTGAGAAAAATACTAAGAACGGGGACAAGGCAGATAATAAAGATTAAAGATAGAAATGGTCATCTTAAAACCAACAGAGAGGAAACCCTTAATATAGTGGAAGACTTCTACAAATTGCTGTACACAAGCCAACACAAAGCAAATAGCAGAGTAGATCAGGTACCAGAAATATTAACAAGGAAAAAGGGCATTGTCAACCAAAGATCAGAACCAGAACTACTATCGGCAATCACAATGGACGAAATAAAACTAGCCCTAAGAAAAGCTAAGAATCACAAATCTCCAGGCGAAGATTGTGTAGTTACTGATGCAATCATAATCGGAGGCACTTGTCTACTTAAGAAAATAAAAAACCTTTTTAATATGTGTTTTTTTTTACAGTAATATACCCGACAAATGGCACATTGCTGAGGTAATTCTATTTTACAAAAAAGGAGATCCCCATGAATTAGAAAACTACAGACCTATAAGTCTTCTTAGTCACCTATACAAACTCCTTACAAGAATAGTACTGGATTCGAAACAAATGATCACCTACAGAGCATTAAAACGCTAATAGAAAAGACTATCGAATACAATCGACCACTCGTTCTGGCTTTTGTAGATTTCCATAAAGCCTTTGACATGGTAGAATTTGACAAAATCCTGGAAGCACTACAAGCATGCCGCATTGACTACCTATATACAAGGTTAATTTACAATACATACAAGAACGCAACTATGTCGGTAAAACTACATGAAAACACGGATCATATCCCAATCGGCAGAGGAGTCCGGCAGGGTGATACCTTATTGCCTAAACTGTTTACCGCAGTACTAGAACATGCTTGTAAAAAACTTAACTGAGAAGAAAAACGCCTGAACATTGATGGTAGAAGATTAACAAATTTGAAATTCAAGGAGATAGGTACAACGCTACATGAAATTCAGTTAGTTTGTGCCAGTGTGGGTCTTAAAATAAACATCTCAAAAACAAAATTCATGACAAACCTAGTACCTAGCGGAAATATCAATATTGGAGACAACGAAGTAGATCTGGTGGAAAAATACATATATCTTGGATACGAAATAAAGATCACAATTTATGTGCGTTGCCTGTGATGACCTATGGTGCCGAAACTTTGAGATTGACAGCTACAAGTTCTAAAACGCTGCAAATAGCTCAGAGGAAAATGGAAAGGTCAATGCAATATATCGCTTCGTGGAAGAGTTAGAAATGAAGACTAAGACGAAGAACAGGAGTTACCGATGTAATATCCCGAATTCCCACACTGAAATGGAACTGGGCCAGATACGTCGACCGAATCAGTGATGAAAGGTGGACGAAGAAATTGCTTGAGTGGAAGCCGAGGTTAAACGAAAGAAGTAGAGGAAGACTACCTATCGTTGGACTGACGAACTCAAGAAAATGTCAAGAAATTGGATGAAAAGTGCTCAAGATAGAGCACAATGGACAAAAATGAGGGAGGCCTATGTCCAGCAGTGGGCGCAAAGGGTTGGGTGATGATGTGACGATGACAAATTTTGCCTGAATGCAAGCATGCCTCCAAATATAAAAAATCGAATTCTGGAAGCAAAATCAGCAAAGACGGGATCTCGGCACTGCTTTGTGCCAAGGCCGATGGATCGCACAGATTGACTCCTGTAACTCTTGGCACATCTCGTAAACCTAGAGTTTTAAAAAATATTATGCATCATCTGCCCGTTTCATACTATAGCTCTAATAAGGTATGGTTCACTTCAGATATTTTCAAAAATTGGTTTTTAAAAGAATTTGTACCTGCAGTGAGAAAATTTAAAGAGAATAAATTGGGAATACCACCCGAAGAAGTGAAATTAGACAACGCTCCTACTCATCCCTCTGAAGTTACGTTCAGAATATGGCACCCTAGTCATAAAGCTTACGTAAATAAAGCCCTTACATTTAAAAACTTAACCGATCTGCGTACTTCACATTTGGCGGGATTTTCAATGGGCGCCGCCATTTCAAAATGTTATAGAACAAAGATATGTCTACGATATTTTTAGTGTTCGTCTATACAAGCACATTTCAAAAGTCTCTAAGCGGTTAATAGTCGATATTTCCAAGGTCCATGCTTCGATACCATATAAGACAACTGTCCATACAAATTGAAGTTTCAAATTATCGTTACAGAAGAGTGACCTCATTATTAAAAAACTTGGACGAGCCAACTCGATTATACATTTTATCTCTTTATCTGGATTTAATTGTTCGGTAATATAACAACCTAGATATTCTGGATTGTATTGGTTGTCCATATATTTGTTATTGTATATTTTGATAAGATAAGTGACTAAATACTATGTACTTTGATTCAGAACAATTATTTTTAGTGCCATCCCTCGTCTCACCGTGACTCTATAAGACATTGCAACCCATTGAAGTCATCGCTCAATATAACTGTATCTCATATGAGTATCTGATGGTATTTATCAGTTTTTCATTAATTTTTACACCATACGAGGTCTGGCTATTAAATAACGAGACTGCTTATGAAAAAGAGTTTTATTTTAAAAATTATTCTACAATCGAATGCTCTCTTTCAATATATTCCTCCTCCCTCGCCACACACCGTTCCATTCGTTTTTTTCATTGGTCAAAGCAATGCTGGAAGCCTACTTTTGTTGGAGCTTTTAGGAGCTCCGCCGTTTTTCGCTTCACTTCTTCTATCGACTCGAACCGGATTCCTTTTAGGGCAGACTTTATCTTCGGAAACAGGAAAAAGTCACAGGGTGCTAAATCAGGCGAGTACGGCGGGTGTTCGAGCACTGGAATGCCTCTAGTGGCTAAATAACACTTCACAGACAGCGCGTTATGGGCAGTTTGGTTTACAGTTTGACCCTCTGGAACCCGTTCAGTCATCACGATGCCGTTAATGTCGAAAAAAACAATTAGCATGGCTTTAAATTTTGATTTCGACACCCTTGCTTTTTTCATTCTTGACGAAGAAGGAGTTAACCAGTACATGGATTGTCGCTTAGTTTCAACATCGTATTTGAATATCAAGGTTTCATTGCCAAGTGATGTTTTCCATTAATTCAGGTTCTTCATGTAAACTCTCAAGAAACCCTGAGCTGATCTGTTGACGGACGAGCTTTTGGTCAGGGGTCAATTTTTTTGAAACCAACTTCGCACAGATTTTCTTCATGTTCAATTCGTTTATTTCATTTATTTTGGTCACTGCTTGCGGAGTTGAAATAGAGACAGGTCATCTTCGGCGCTCTTTCGGCCTTCAGAAAACTATTTATACCATTCGAAAACACGCGCACGAGATAGAGAATTCTCGCCATAGGCCTCTTGCAATAAATTATAGCACTCAGTCGGAGTTTTTGATAATTGAACGAGAAATTTCACATTAATCCGTTGCTCATGTTTTTCGTCACACATTGTTATCGGCACGAGAAAAAAACACGTTCTTTTCTAACCTCTACAGAAAAAATACTACTACAGCGACAAAAACGTGATTTCGTACTGGAAGAGTACACTTCCAGCTATCAAATGCTGCATTCGTTTCCCACTCTTTCCCTGTAGGACGTCTTCTGTGCGCTGTCTCGTTATTTAATAGCCAGACCTCGTATTCCAAGTTGTGCAAAGCCCGTTTAAAGATTCTATCTGAATATAAATTAAACAACAGTGGGGACAACACACAACCTTGCCTGACTCTGTTTAGAATTTTACACTCTACTGTCGACTTCCCATTAATGGTCGCATTTTGACAATATAATTTTTCTAACCTCTTCTTAATATTTTAATTAACTTGTCATGTACTGTATCAAATGCATTTTTATAATCAATAAAAACTGCAAAGACGTCTTTATGTGGATTTCGAAATTTCTGTTTCTCAACAAATTACCTATTTCAGCATCAGTGTGTAATCTTTACAATACTGTAGACTCAAATACATTTCTCAGAGCCTTGTCTGCCATTCTAATTGCATGCAAAGCATTTATAGGGGAAATGTTTATTCTTACATGTCAGTTTTTTTATACTTTCTTTTTGCAAAATATTTAAAACGTTTTAATAATTCCTTAATCGAAAGGCTTTGATGTTATATTGAGTGCCAAAAATTTAATCTCCACTGCTTTCATTAAAGTAATTTTGTGCAGTCTAATTCTCAATAAAAAGCAATATTTTTCGTTTTTATTCTAATACCATTAACCTACCATAGAAAGCTGCTTATACATTAACAAAACTTTGCCTATGTTGGTTGACTGGTGAATTTAGTAGCTTTGCAACTGACATAGCAGGCCCAATGTTCGGGAATAAAAAGGAGGGATTCAGGAGTATACTCTATAAAAATCCAGTTAGGTTCACCTAGTTAATATCTACCTGTAAGAATTACGTTCCAGGGTACAGGCGAAGCATAAGTAAATGGATCAAATATCAGACGAAGAGAAAGAAATTGTAATGATCTGAAGAGCAAATGAGCAACTAGGACACTCCATAGTTTTGGATGAAAGTCAGTGTAGGGGAAGAAAATCTTGCCGATTACCCAGCCGTCCTGGAAGGGGTTGAAGCATAGGGCCAGTGTCTCCATACTTGAAAAAAAAATGGAACTGTAGATTAGCGTGAAGCTTCACTATGTTTTCTGAATTTTTTAGATTTTAAATATTTCTAAGGCTTTAGAAGATTCTGCTTTAGAATAGGAGTACAATTAAACCAGGAGAATACTTTTTATACCCTTCATTACGTTAAAAATGAGTACATGTATCTGAGCACAACAACAAACTGTAGTGGCCATACCAAAAAGCAAACAGAGGCATAGATTATAATAGCCACACTAAAAGGGAAATTGTAGCCGGGGTTATAAAAGGAAGAGGTTATAGGGTCCCTAAACTGAATAAAGTAGTCTGACTCCGTAACTCAGTGTTTAAAAGTATCATAACATAGATGTGAAACATAGCAGCTACACAAATCTCTAGAACAACGATTATTGTAATTATAGATGGATTTCTGGTAAAGGTTTACCAGAAAAGCAATGTTTTATTCATCCTTCAAAGCAAAAATAACGAGGTTTGAGTCATGCAGAATCTACTGTATTTCCGAAAATTTTCATTTTTAAATTTTAGATCAACTTTAGTAATAATTTTTCAACTATAATATTAAACTTTTCTAAATTGTTATAAATTCTGTTTCTTGGCTTTCTTTTTCTTCTCTTTCTTATAGTTGTTGAAATACATTGATTTATTTTGTCACACATTTTTTATTCTTCCGCAAAATTCTGACAAAATGTTTTTCTTTAGTATCGCTCTTCCAAGGTTGTTTCATAATCTTCTTTTGCATCTTCCATACCTGATAAACATTTTGTTTTCGTTTATTGTACATTTATTTTAAAGATCTAATAATGTGGTATGTATATTTTAACTTTGGATTTTGCTGTACAACAAAATAAAATGTGTGATCATGTTAAAATGTAATTACCACTAAATATGTAGAATTAAAAACATAAAAATTTAATCAGCAAAGTTTAGACCAACAAATCCCACTCACATGGTACATTCATTTAACACGGAAGTTGTGAAATTATCAAAAATTTGCAAAGTAATTAGAACAGAATAGACAAGGCAAACTAAAACATACATAAAACATACAAAAAACTAAAACATAACACAGCTTTTTTAATTATTTGAAATAAATAAGTGCAGCAAAGAACATCTCTAATATATTTACCTAGATTAATTACATTATAAAGCAACATTGTTTAATAGCTTTAAAAACAGAAATTATTAAAACTTACACAATGTGTAGGTTTGTCGAATATCCTTTCCCATCTTGGTTTACCTGGTACTATTCTATATACAGGAGCCATTCCTTGACTATACATTTTTCCTTGTCGATTTAAATCAACAATGTTGAATTTTACTAACATGGCAGGGCCTGGAGCTACAAAAAGTATATTTAAGAAATTTATATTTTAAAGCAAATTTAAATTAAGGAATGGTTATATGGTGACTAACGAGAATATTAAAAAAAAATACCAAATCTCTGCATTTATCTGGACTAATCTGGATATTGCACCTGAAGAAATAACAGAGTAGCATTATTCTGTGATGGCTGTACTGAGCACAAGAAAACTATGAAATGTTTTATTAGCTAGTTGAAGTAGTTGATGATTTTTCTTTATTTTCCACAAAAAAAATCAAATTACAAAAACAAAAGAGAATTTTTTTTTTGTATTGAGAATGCATCGACAATTAATGGTCATTGGCATCGTACAGTGAATTTTTACAGTCAGGTGTGTAGTGTGTGTATGTATGTAGAGTAAATGTCTTGATACTTAGCAAAGTTGACGTCATTGTCTTTGCTAAGAGACGCTAATTGTATCCGAATGTCTGCGGTCCCTCCGGTGAGTACCGATCGCAAAAGGATAGAAATTATTTTCATTTATTAATTTTTAATAAACGAAAATTTCCACCCAGGTGGGATTCGAACTCACGACCTTTAGGTTCAAAGGTAGGCGCTCTTACCACTGAGCCACAGAGGGGGTTCGAGAATTATTTATTTACTCACTGACAATACTTTAATTTAATATGTAAGGTACAAAAAACCATAAGTTTAATGTTATAACTATAATTGTCAATAAAATTACTCAAAATTACAAAAAAAAAATCATAAAAAGAATAAAGCATTCTTTCAAATGTCCATTTGTAGAGTTTATGTTTTTACATAACCTAGAAGAACTTAGATAATGTAATGTCAGTACCATTAAAGAAAAATAATAAAGTAGATTTGCATATTTCTCGGTACTATATTTTTATTAGAATTATATAGTATTATGATTATATAAAAAAAGCATAAAAACTTTGCTTCTTGGTTAACATTTTTTCTTAAATTTGCACAAATCCTTGATAAAATTTAAAAAGGAACCATCTCAGAAATTACACTGATAATATTCTTACATATTAAGTATAATCTCACTAATCCAGCATTTCAATAAACTGACACAACCAATACGCAGGCACCCTCTGCCAGGACGACTAAGTATATTGGATGAAAAATTGTCAAGCAACTAACTTCCTGACCAAATCTATAATGCAGACAAGAGTGGTCTGTGTTGAAGACATTGCATAACTAAACATTCATATGGAAGTAAGAAGTGAGCTCACCAGGTCATAAAGTGAGTAAAATTAGAATCTAGAGCATAGCACAGAAATTAATGCTATGATAAATGCTACTGGAACACATAAAATAGATTTGTTAGTGGTTGGTAATGCTAAAAATCCCAGAGATTTCAAAAATATTTGTCTGTCAGTTTGCTACAAGACCTATTTACAAATTTGGTCAGAAGCGAGGTATTTAAGATTTATTTTGTTTTTTTTAATCTGAAAAAGTTTTGCTTTAAAACAGTTAAATTTGAGCTTTTTATACTTTTTTTTACTAGATTAAAAAATCTTCCGTTTTTGCCCTGCCCTCTATTCGATATAATTACTATAGGGTTAATTAAAATAAGTGATTTTATCAGTTGTAAGTATAAATTATTTTTTTTATAATAATAATAAAATCAGTTATTGGTTGATACATATTCAATAGAAAGTGCCAGATTATAAGCAAGACCCCATAATTCCAATATTATGACAGTGTCTTTGTAAGTACATACATTAAAAAATATATCTACCTTTTACACCGAAATAAAACCAAGTCCTATTCCCATTCTCAAATTCAGTGCCATAGCAGTCAGGTTTTGTCCAAAGATTAAACTCAGCATCAATAATTTCCTGCACCAAAGCATTTTTGGGATGTTTTGAAGCTACAACATAATTTTAGTTTAGTATGGTAAATAGGATGAAGACTTTATACTAAACCTACCAGTTTCATGGCTTGGGCCTGGGACATGTTCTACTTTGGCCAAATTTGCGGAATCAAATTCATTATAAAAAGTAAAACCTGAACAAGAAATACCTGCCATAATTTTAGGAAGAGTTTGTCAACCTAGACTTTCTGTCATTTGAAAAATTTAATAGAAATGCACTTGATATTTCACCCTTTGTGACCTACAAAACATTTTTAGTATATAAAATAAATATTAATGTTATGTATACCATTTGTGACGAAATCAAATGAGATTATAATGATCCTAATTCTGGAAAACCATAAGCAATCAAATAAACAAATATGACAAGTTCAATAATCAGCTGTTTTAATATTTGTCTTTGTCATTTGATATGATTTGTAAGACATTCAGTCAGAACCTGACCTAAAATATTCTAATTGTCATTTTATCTTTACTATATGGGTTTTTCATAGTACCTTCTATATTGTTTAACGATTTCAGTGTAATTTATTGATTCTTATTTAAAACTTCTTTGTTACATATTTTACTTTTCCTTTGGCACGCCCTGACTCACCATTTGTCATATTTGTTTACCTAGCCATTTTTAGCGAGTATCCTTTCAAACGCCGTATCGTTTCTGAAATGCTCAAAAACAAAAATAGCATATTATAATCACAGAATAAATAAATAACACAGAGTAAATAATAAGTGTTTCTTATTCTGTGATAAGCCTTTGTATCCTGATCGCTTCCTGATAGTTTAGTTGTATGAGCACACAGAATAATAAACAATATGATATAAGATCATACTCTGTTGCCACCATGGTTGCCAAAGAAATAATAAACAATAGGGAACTTGACAATTTTTTTTTTATTCATTTATATATTTTATTTATATTTGTCTACATATAGAAACAACGCATACCAAATATCAACCCTCAAATCGCAATATTTAATTTACAATGAACATTTAAAGTTCTAACAACACGAAGGACGATATGACGTCACGCTGCTAGTTCCAAGACAAGAGAACAACGAACTGGCAACACTGTTGCCACAAACTGTCAGTGTCAACTGTAAAAATATTGTTTTGAAGTTTAGATTTTGTTGTGGATTTGTGGATATTTTGTTTTTATTAGGTCTGCTTTAATAATATCAATAATAATAATGGAAGCAACACAAAATCAATATTACAAATATTGTATGGTTCCTATGTGTTCCAATACAACTTATAAAACGCCCGGAAAGATATTTATTCCGGTGCCTGAAGATAATAACCGTCATTTAAAATGGTTGAATGCATGTAGAAAAAATGAGAAACATATTTTACAGAAAACTAAAGCCCACATATGTGAGGATCATTTTAATGTGAGTATAAAAATCAGACTATATCTAATTATCTAAATATCATTATACATACTTAGCTATTATGTTTATTTCTTTGCTCCACAATGCAGTAATATTTACTAAGTATAGTATTACCCTTGAATTACAAATAACCTTATGGTTTTTATTGTTACTATATTTATTCATAATAATACATATTTTTTTATATGGCTTATTTAGTTATTTATTCTAGCTTGAAGAAGACATTTATGTTAAATAAAAGTTAATGGGAGGTCAGAAAAAAAAATGAAAACTAATGTAGTGCCTCATATATTTGATTGCCAGAAAAATACAAAAAGATCGTTTGAAAATCATCCCACCGCTGCAGGTACTAAGAGAATTTGGTGCTGAATTTCTTTGGTGCCACAAGATCCATTTTGTATTCAGGAGAATTTGGAGATAGCTGCATGTAGTAGTAAGACCATTCACCCTATGGAAATTCAGCTGGAAACAAATGAAATTGACGTTTCAAAAAGAGATGCCTCTTCACAAACCTGTCCTAGTGTTAGGACTAAAAGTGTTCAATATAACAAGATGTTCAGGTGTACAGTGTGGAATTACAGTAGGGTTATCGCCAATCAAAAGTATTTCAGTCAACGTAGAGATGAAGCTATCAACAAGTTATGTGACCAATATTTCTGAAACTACTCTAAGCATACAAAGTAGTGATCATGAAAATGTTAGTGAAAGTAGTGGTATACTTTAACGCCCAGTGAAGTGAAAAAACTTAATGATGAAAAGAAAACTGAATTTAAAAATCTGACAATGAATTGTACAATCACAAAGTTATAAAACAGACCTAGATTGTATATGGGATTACCAGAACATGCATACTATACATTTCAATTGCTAGAAAAATATTGCAAGGTAAATTCTATGTATATATTTTTAACACTAAAAAAATCAAGACTGGACTTTCTTTTATAGCTCTAGCAGATGATTTTGGCATAACTGAAAGTTATGCTTCAAAAATATTTGTGAAATCTGTTCCAATTATAAGTAAATATTTAAGAAAATGTATAATACAACCTCAGGTTTCATTTGTGAAATCAAATTTACCAATAGCTGTTCGAGCTCGATATTGTAATGTTTATTGTATAATTGATTGTTTAGAAATAGAGAAACCAACAGATGCAGTAAAACATTCTTTAATGTCAGAGTATAAAAAATGTAATACACTTAAATATTTAATATGTTGCACACCTGATGGTATCATAAATTATATCTCTATGTACATCTGATGCTATCATTGCAGAACATAGTGGTTTTTTTTAAATATTTTACCTCCAAATGTTGCTGTTATGGCAGATAGGGGATTTAAACATATTGACCATTTACTTACGTCTAAAGGTTGTGTCCTCATTAGGCCCCCGAGTGTGTCTGTATATATAAAACCTAGTAAAGAAGAGGTATTTGAGACCAAACAAATAGCTAGCTTGAGAATTCATGTCGAAAGAGTTATTCGTAGAATGAGAGAATTTTCATTTTTAGCACCCCATGCATGTAGCGATAATAAATTGTTGTGTTATTCAGATAATATTATCAAAATAGTGTGTGGATTAATCAATTTGCAATCAGGAATAATTTCAGGACGGTAACTTTTTGTAGGTTTTACTTTTATACTTTGTAGGTAGTTATTTATTTAGTTTTAGAATGTCTTTAAGAAAATGGTTAGTAAAAACCTGATATTTCATCTTATTAATATTTGCAATATATATTATGTTCAATAAAATATAAGCAATAAATGTATGCAAGTAACATTTATTTTGTTTTATTTCACAATTACACCAGATTCCCAAATGCATCTATCTAGGGATTGGTCAAGGTCAAACACAGTAAAAGTGATTTAATAAAAACAAATTAAACTAAAATCATCGTGCAAGTGCTTTTATTAATCATGCCTTAATACATTATACTTTACATACCCACATTATACTTTATATATTTATATATCATATAGATAGATGGATCTTTATTTAAATAGAAAACCTAATATACATACAATATAAATATAAAGAAAGTACACCATAAATGTTTGATACATATATTTTATATTGTATAAGTAACATTTTGAAATTATTGAGACTAGTACATTTTTTTACAGATGTTGGTAACTGATTAAATTTAAGAAAGATTTTAAAAAAGAGCAAATTCTTTGTACTTTTATACATAGTTTTAGTTACATATACTTACTTTCTGAATTTTATTTTGGTACCATGGAGGCATTTTACTTGGCGAGATGTTACCAAAATAAAATTTAAAAAATTTGGAAAAACTGAATGTAAACACCAGTTCGCATCCAAATGTTAAATACAAAGTGAAACTGATCGTGCTGTATATAAATATATTATCATTTTTTGAATGAGTTACATAAATGTGTAAATATATTATATTGCCAGAAGTTTTCTGCAGCATCCATTAACATCTTTATGTATTCTTCATCATATGGTACCCATATATCAAAAAATTTGAAATTTTCCTCATAATCAGGATCTGCAACACAACATAATGCTTTTTGTTTCTTACATAGAAACATCTGTAGCTGCACTTGAGCTTTGTATTTTGCTGTAATTTCCATATTTTTTATTAAATAGTTACAAATAGATTTCTCAGATCGAGGACATTTTATTTCAACTACAAATTCTTCAGATATAGCATCTGGAGAAGCCCCAAATATTGGATGCCTGTGATTTAATTATAACCCAATATGACTGAGTTTTATCTTTAATTTTTTTTCTAAAGATTTAATTACAGCATCCTCAAGCCTTTTCCCTCGAGACATGGCTTCTGTAGCAGGAAGTTTGGTTACACCAAGTATTTGGTTAACCAGGGAACCATCTGATTTTTTCAGTGTGCTGCATCATAAATCTTTGATACAGTTATTATTGCATATCGCAGGTCAAACCATAAACCGGAATTAGACTGTTCAATGGTTATTGCTGCAGAATTCTAGAAATTCTGAAAAATTCAGTGCCATTTCGGAAAAATCATTTCTGCTAACAAAATTTAACATCAATTGATGTAGTCCAAGATGTTATAAAATTCTGTTAGGCTTGAAGTGTTTCAATAGTTGACTTTCAACATTATGTTCTAGTCCTTGGTTCACAACTTCCTGTAAAAAGAGTGAGCTTTCTTCATCTGAGCTCAGTTCTTCTTGTGCTCCAAAATCCTTCAAAGTTAGGTATTTAACTGAAGTTCCAACTTTGGAAAGTTTACTCTTTGCCCAGTAACAAGCAATTTAATTTGAAGAAGGTTCTTCACTCCTTCTGTGAAGCCCACATCAAGAATGCTATGGAATGCTTACACCCACCTAAAACAAAATAAATGCTATACTTATAAATTATACCCAAAATTAATATCATTTCATAGTATGTATTTGCTATCCTTTATGTTCCATATTACAATTAGATAGGAAGCATTTAAAATGTGGACATATTGAAGAATTTCCTGGATAGACAGAATAACCCATGAAGAAGCACTAAAAGAAATAGAGAAAAAAAAGCATCAAAATAAGAAAACTGCAATACTTGGGTCATACTTATAACAGCAGGTGGTGACAAATATGAACTCCTAAAATTAATAATGCAGGGAAAGATTCAAGAAAGATGCAGCATAGGTAGAAAAAAAAATGTCCTGGCTGAGGACCAATATATTATGTCACAATATATGAGGACAAATATTGTGACTCCATATTAACTGCTTGGTTAATTTGTAGGTCAGTCTAATTTCAGGATAACATCTCTTTAAAAATAGCAAGAAATATTAAAAAAATATTAAAAACAGTTTATTAAACTTAAACTTCATATTGTATTTTTGACTTTATTTCTTTGTATGCAACATGTCATATTTTATTAGTATATCCTATATTAAGCTTTGTAGCCACATGTATTAGGTACTATATATTTTCGAAAAAACTAATATTATATTTTGTAATAAATATTAATATAGAAATCAAAACCGTTTACAATTTAAACATTTTGAAGTGAATATTTTTTATCGCTCTGTATGATGTTTTGCATGGGTCTATTTAAAATTCTATTTAGCGTGACTCGAAAAATCAAGACTTGTTAATCTTGCAGTATACTGTAATATACATAATATACATACATGTATACTTATAATTTTACATAATATATATTTTCTAACAACTCTTGAACGACTTGAAAGATTTGGCTAATTTTGATTTTAAAGTATTTGTAGAAGATATACTTATATAATAAAATTATATAAACTTTTTTAGATTTTAAAGAACTTAAGATTTTTTAAATTATAAAGAACTTAAATGTGTATTGTTATTATAACACATTAAAAAATCAATAATAAGTGGATATAAAATTGCATTAACCTACATTATAGTAGTAACACGCTATAAGAAGTATTCACTTCAGTCAAGTGTCACACTCTTTTTTTGCTGTTTTGTTATAATTTACAGTGATGTTGACATGTTTTAGAAATAATGTAGATAATTAAACAAAACCTTTAATAAAGATTTTTCAAACTGAACCTGTAATATGTTTTCCCTAATACTCATACAATAAAGATTACAATACATTATCAAGCCTTATTATTTTTATTATATAAAGTGTACAGTATAATCAACAAAACATAGTATATAACAATAAATACATTGAACAAATATTGGATTCAGCCTATAAAACAAAAGCAGCTGTAGACATGTGTTTCTGTCTCCTAGTCAGTATAGCAAAGTTACCTTACAGATGTTGGTAAATGTAGCGAATAAGATTATTCAGAAAAAAGTGTACAAAGAAATACTGATGGAAAAAGTAAAGAAGTGACACAACGACCAACTGTTAATTTGTGATTTTTCTCTGAATTGCTGATATGGTTGTTAATTAAATTCAAATATTTCAGCTTTAACTGCCTGAAGGACAAACTGTTACCCAAGGATAGAAATAATAATTTTATTTTCTATCTCCCCATCATCTTTGGCTCGACGATCCTCTGTGGATTGCTTGCTCTAAGAGTCATTGCCATTCTGTTCGGTTTCTGGTGATGTGTTGCCATCTTCTGATCTCTAATATCCCTAAATTGGTCTCAACTCCATCTAACCACCTAATTTTCGGTCAGCATCTGCTTCTTATTTTTTATCTACAGATTTTAATAAACGGGGAAAAATATTATGCGTCCAAAAACTTTCAGCAGCTGTCATCAAACTCTCCAAATGATTTTCATCATAGTCCACCCATGTATAATTGAAATTAGAATTATTTTCAAATTCTGGATCAGCAAATATATATACATATATATATATATATATATATATATATATATATATATATATATATATATATATATATATATATATATTTATATAAACTAAAATGTTATTTCAAGATTATTGTAATATTTATTTTAAAAACCAAGAAAAAAATTATTATAAAGGCTGTATATTCAGATACTACCTTCTTCTTCTTAAGGTTCCATCTTCTAACGAAGGTTGGATATCAACATGGCAATTCTTATTTTACTTACAGCAGCTCTAAATAGTTGGCTAGAGCTCAGACTACCTATCAGAATTAAAATGGGCTAAAATAAATTTCCATGAAAGAGTGTTTATTCCTTCATGTTTACTGCAAAATGCAGTATAAAATTTAGCTCAGCTGATGTTTGTCTCAGATCAGAATTTTTTATGTTTCAAGAATGCTCTTAATTCAAAATATTACAAATACATATCTGTTTATAAAAATACCTACTTACCTAATGAAGCAGCACAATCATAACACTTTAGATCAAGTACTTCCTCGGTTTCTTCATTAATTTCACAACTTACAGCATACTGTTTTTTCTTAACATTATGTTCAGGTGTTATTTTTGCCCTTACAGTACAGATCATGTTATTTCTTTTTACTTGAACCCATCCTACAGCTGCATCTCCATATGATTCTCTGCCAGATCTAAATGCAAACGATGAATAAGTTAATTTGATTAAATTTCAGTACAATAGCATAAACATATAATATTGACCCTACTTAATATAAAGTACTAAGTTTTATCATTAAATACTTATTATGAGAATAATAATCACAATAAAATTAATGTAATAGGAGTATATGTACTTACTTATCTGCTTTAACTCCCCGAACTTCTCCCAGGGAAACATTTTCACCGTTTTGAAAATATGTGGCTATATACCATATTTACAATGGGTAAGTTATCAGACTGGCCTTTGGAAAAACCCTCTTCGGTCATTTTAAAAAATATATCTGAACAAAAACACTCAAATATTATTAAATATATAGTTCACAGCAACTATCTAAAGATTTATAAAACTGAACTGAAATACACCATAAAATTACTATAACAATAAGTAAACGAATGTCAAACGTAATGAATTAATAGTGCGCCAATCCCAATCGTTGAACATTCGGACTATATGACGTCACGACCAATGAGGCCGCGTTTTGGACTGGCTGCCATAATTTGAATTTTCTCTCGATTTTAATCGTTTTTAGGGGCCAAACTAAAGACAAAAACAACTTTTTTTTGTTTGATATATATTTTAAATTATGTTTTGTTATGATTTAAGGCATTTTCTTTGAATTTAAAATTTTAGGCAAGTTCCCTATTATAAAATACCCATCCATAGGTAAGAAGGAGGTTAGGCAATACCTTTGCAGTTGCAGCGTTGCAATACTTATCGTTTTTACCCGTTTATAGGGATGACCAACGGACGGTGTGACGTCACAACCGCTGCAATTTTAATTGCTTATATTTATTTCATAATTATAAAATATGAGTTTTTTTGTAAACTGGGGTTCTCTTAACAGCATTAAATAACGTTTATGAGTAATATTTTTGAAATTTAATTTTTATGCAAGTTCCCCATTATTATTTATTCTGTGCTGTTACGATTTATTTTTTTAATTATATTTGTATAATCTGTGACTTTTAATATTTTATTTATTATATTCCTTATTCCTTTAATTTTTTAAACAATTTTAAAAGATAATGTAAATATTTTTACTTATTTCATTAAAATTTCATATTGAATAAAGGTCAAAGGCAGGCTTCTCACACATATTCCACCTTTTTTGGTTTTATTTATATCAGTATTTTGACAACAGGTCTTTACCAACAGGTTTCGACTAAATGTTTTCGTATGTATACCCCTTCACAATATAAATTTTAGTAAATCTTAATTCAATTACTAAATTGACTTAATGCAATTAGTAAATATAGTACTAATTTCAAATCACAGTTTACCGTTTTATATTAACGGAAATCATTCAGATGTTTAACAAAAATAAATAGTTATCGCAATTTTATTATAAATCTACGAACGCAAATAGATTTTATAGAAAAAAAAAAAAAAATTTTTCTATTTATTCTACCGTCAATATGAAAGAAAAAATAGAATATATCCCCGTTCGTGAATTTACATTTTTCACTTTCACCCTTGGGTGGCAGGATTTAATATTTTTCTAGGTTTTAAAAATATTTGATTTTTATTATAAAGTGCAGAACTTGTTTGACCAATAAAACTTAAATAACTAACGTTAATTAAAACAGCTTACTAAAGTATTGTGTAGGTATGCCACTTCATTATAAAGGTTTTTTATTAGTTTTATCCGAAGCGGCCAAGTCTTTAATATCAATTTAGTTTAGTAATATTATACTTTCACAGCTGCTTGAACATTGCTAAATGCGACACAATGTTATTTTATATTGCTATAAAATTTGGGAAATTACACAGTTTAGCCTTTTTGCTAAGCGATGCAGGCATGCATCATCAAAAGTTTTGAATATTATAAAGATCATAATTATTATTCATTCTATTAAACCCTGCCAGAAAAGAATGTACGCTTTTAAATGTAAATACATTTATTTTTACTTACTTTTATTATTTAAGTTATTTATTCTCAAGATCAATACCATAGATTAAATGATCAATACCTATTCTGTGTCAATACCACAATGGATTTTAAAACCTTTCATTACTAGAATTTCCGCCGTCTATGGTTTGTACAACATGCAATTTATGTCGTTTGACTCCCTGCTCCCATGGCCAAGTTGGAACCTCTGATGACATATTAAATTTTCTTCTTTTTTAAAGTTAACGTTTAAGGTTATGTGAACTCTGATGTAGCAATAATGGCAAAAGTTGAACATTTAGTATTTTTAAAATTATATTTAATATTAATAAGTGTAGTAAATTTATCAAGTGCCATTTATGAAGATCAAGTAGGAAAATTTGATTGGAAACGATCTTTCATAGGAAAAAGCAAATTTGCAGAAATTGATTCCAAGAGGATTGTCATTGCCACTGAACAGAATGTTTTAGCTAGTTTAAACCTCAAAAATGGTCAAATTTTGTGGAGACATATATTAGAAGACCCCAAAGAATATGAAATAAAACTATTGTACATAGACAGAGATATATACACAGTATCAGGGACAATAAACACTTGGATAGTTCGAAGCTGGGAGATCAACACAGGAGCTCTTATTACGGAATGGCCGATTATTACCGATAAATTACCACCCATGGACTTTCGTGTAATAGATGGAAAACTCATCAATATTATTCCAGTTTTGGGATCCCATTTGGAAGTTTCTAGTTATTACCTTTCTACAGGTGAAGTAATTGAAAAGAACTTGAAAATATCAGCACCTTGGGTAAAGGATACTTCAAATTGTGTGGTTTCCAGCTCTAAGTATGTGTGTTTATCAAGTAATGACTATTCAGGTCAGTTGTATTTTATTGATTTCCTTACTAAAGATGATGCAGTTCATTCAAAATCAATACAAAGTATCTTAGGTGATGGCTTGGGACCAATTAGTATTAAGCAGTTGAACACAAACATTCCAGCTTTTCTGTTAATTTCCAATAGATTAGAAAAATTAGTTGAAATAGAAAAAGAAAATATTAAAATCAAAGAAATTGATATTTCTGGAGAAACTTATATAGCTAGAAACGAGGATAAACTGGTATTATATCAGTTTGAGGCTAGTAGTACTCCTGATAAATTAATTAGCCTAGTTTCTAAGGAATACTCCTCAGGACAAGAGTTGTCAAGAGTTGATGTGGACTATCCTATAGGAGTAGGAGTGCCAGTAATTATTGCAAGCTCCTTAAAAGGATCTAATGGTATCCTGGTGATTAGCACATCAGATAATGCTTTATTAACAATTAAAATACCAGAAGGAAAAGTCCAATGGACTATAGAGGAAGCACTTAGTGATATAGTTGCTACTGAATTTTTTGAATTACCAATGTCTGAATTAGATGCCTCTATTGAAAATGAATTTAAGACAAATTCTAATAATCTTATTAATATGCTCATCCACAGATTAAGTACTCAGGCTAAACAGTTGTCTAATTTAATTTTTGGTAGTCAGTTATTATCAGCTAATGGTTTAGTTAGAGATGAATTTGGTTTCCATAAACTTATTGTAGTGGCAACAAAAGTAGGAAAATTGTTTGCTATTGATACTTTATCTGGATCTATAGCATGGAGTTATAGACTACCAAATGTTAGGCCTTTTAAGTTATTGGAAAAGGATAAGATGTTTCTGTTTGTACAAAGAACTGCTAGATATGCTCCACTTCCTGCACTATGTACGCTTCTTGCTGAAGATTCTACAAGTGGAAATGCAGTTTTGTTTCAATTTGATCCTATTACAGGATATTCCACAAAAGGCATTGAAAAATTAGAGTACAAGCTTGCACAGGCAATGTTGTTGCCATATGAAGATGAAAATAATCTTAAACCTGTTCTATTGCTCTCGTCTGAACATCAAGCGTCTGTGCACCCACCAACAGCCAAGCTATTTGTATATAATTATATAAAACAGAATCACATTTTCTTAGTAGATAGTAAGAAAAATAGTCTTAAAGGCTACAACTTTTACCACAGTACCAAAGAAGAATTTAAACTTACTCCTACATGGGAAATAAAGTTCAGTCCCGGCAAAATAGTATCAGTTAACACAAAGCATCCCAATGAAAGGGTACATTCCCAAGGAAGGGTTCTTCCTGATAGATCAGTGTATTATAAATATGTCAACCCCAATCTAATTAGTGTTGCCACAGTAAGTGAAGATCCAGTTCATAAGCATGTATTAAGTATATACTTAATTGATGGTATTTCTGGCCTTATCATGTATTCAACATCACACAAAAGAGCCAAAACTCCTATTAAGATGGTGCATTCTGAAAATTGGTTAGTGTACTCATACTTTAGTGAGAGATTTAGAAGAACGGAAGTGGTTTCTGCTGAATTATATGAAGGGCATGTTCAAAGTAATAGTACAGTGTTCAGTTCTCATGCTATTAGTGTGTTACCTCATGTCCAAACACAGTCTTATATATTACCAGCCACTCCTGTTGATTTAACAGTCACTTTAACAGAGAAAGGCATAACAAATAAGTTTCTACTTCTTGGATTGTCCACTGGAGTTGTCATAGAGATACCTTGGCTGCTGCTACAGCCTAGATTCAATGATATACCTTGTGGTCCTGAAGAAAGCTGTATTCCATATATGCCAGAGGTTCCTCTACCAGCAGAGGCCATCATTAACTACAACCAGTCATTAAGTGGCATAAAGGGAATAGAGGTAGCTGCTGCTAGACTTGAAAGTACTTGCCATGTCTTAATACATGGTTTAGATATGTTTTATACTCGGGTGGCTCCTTCAAAGACATTTGATGTATTGAAGGAAGATTTTGATTATATAATGATTGTACTAGTGTTAACAGGACTTGTTTTAGCTAGTTATATTACCAAATATCTTGCTTCAAAAAAGACTCTAAAGCAAATGTGGAAATAGATTGTTAACTAGTCAATTTGATGTTGTTTAAATTAGATTTTTTATTACAATTTGTTTCAAAAGTCTGTTCAATAGTAAATTGTAGTTTCTGAGAATAGTTCAAAATATTTATAAGTAGATAAAACTGTTGCCCATTAAAAAAAATTGTATGTATATTGTTCTACTAATTCAATTCTTTTATTTCTACCTTTTACTTTTTTATATTTGCTAATAATTCAAATATCCTGATGATACAATGCTCAGTGTAATGCCATCATAAATGTAGAATTTTGGAAAAAAACAAAGAGTAAACATGTTTATATTCAATAATGAAGTAATGAAATGGCATTTGACATTTTTTTATTTTTCGAGGCTAAATAATATTCAGATATATTATACTATACTGGTTTTGAAATATATTCATTAAGTGTACCAAATCTCATATGATGCCTTAATGTTAACATTTTGATCCACAAACTTATTTTACTGAAATTGTTGTAAATATTTGTTGTGTAAGAGTTTAGCATAAAGTTTCATTTTCATAAAGTCATTTTTATTGCATTATTTATTGTATATGGTTCCTGTATGATTATGATAATTTTTATTAAGTTGTTAATAAGTATTGTATATGATTTAAATTACCACAAATGAATAATTTTAACAGTTATGATGGCAATAAAAATTGGTAGACAAAAAAAATTTCTTTCACTGACAAATGGGCCCTACAATGTGTTAATTGATTAAATAATTGGTCAATTTGAAATGCATTTAGTTAATATTAAGAATGGCTACACAAAGTATTCTCAAGCATTAAATTATTTTTGGCTAGCTATTGTTCAAACATTATACTGAAGTCATTATTATTTCAAGTACTAAAACAGTATTTAAAGTATTTATTTGTAAAATTCTCTTTCTGCACTGACTTTTGAAATACATATTAGTTTCAGTTGAAACAATTTCTAAGACAAGCTGAAAATGTGATTGCACCTTCAGCTGATTTTGGAGATGTGGTGTATGCATTTTGTAATTTGTTATGTATTTGATAAATAAAAGTAAAATGAATGTCTCAAGGGGTGTGTATTGTAAATTTTATTTGTTAAAATTTTACGAATCAAACAATTTGTATGAACCAATTGTTGTTTATTTATTATTTTTTTTTGGAAAAATATACAAGTGTCACTGAAAATTATGTTTGTTAATTTTATCTATCTCCCTTCCATAATTCTTCCTTTTAAAAGTAAGTAATTTAATGTATGATTTATGGATTATTTTTATTCATTATAGTTATATATATATATATATATTTAAATATATATATATATATATATATATATATATATATATATATATATATATATATATATATATATATATTTGGTCTAATTGTTCATCCTCTTTCAATAGTTCATTAAATTTACAGGCAGCAAGATTACAAGGACTGATGACTACCAAAGTTTTCTTGAATATCAAGAAAACTTTCAACTCCGTTTGGCATTCTTCTTCTTCTTCTAGTTCCTATCCGTTTCGGATGTTGGAAATCATATTGGCAATCATAACCTTGCTCGCTGCGGCTCGAAACAGCTCCGTTGAGGTTTTCTTTAACCATGTTCTTAAATTCCGCAGCCATGATATTCTCCTTCTACCGGGTCCTCGCTTACCTTTGACTTTACCTTGCAATATAGACTGTAGCAGGGAGTAACGGTGCTGATTTCTCATAACGTGTCCCAGATATTGCAATTTTATGCGTTTGATCGTAAACACAATCTCTGGTTCCTTCTTCATTTTTCCTAGAACTTCCTTGTTCGTGATCCTTGCTGTCCATGATATTCTCAGCATTCTTCTATAAAGCCACATCTCAAATGCTTCAAGTTTTTTAATAGTGGCGTCTGTAAGCGTCCATGCCTCCGCCCCGTACAACAACACAGAGAAAACATAGCATCTCAAATGTCTCATTTTTGTATCAAGGGATATGTTGTGACTTTTGAAGATTGTTCGTTAATAATAGTTCCCAGGTAACAATACTGTTTTACTCGCTCTATCTGCGTCCCATTAATGTATATATGAGCCCCATTTATATTCTCCTTGCTGATAATCATTTGTTTCGTTTTGTGGGTATTAATGTTTAGTCCGTACTGTTGACTGTACTCGTTTATTCTGTCCATTAGCCTCTGAAGTCCCTCTAAACTATCTGCTATCACCATGGTGTCGTCGGCATATCTAACATTGTTTACTCTTTCACCATTTAGAAGGATGCCTTCGTCTATTCCGTAGAGAGCCTCGTTAAAAATTTTCTCTGAGTACATATTAAATATCAACGGCGATAGGATACATCCCTGTCTAACTCCACGTAGTATTTTTATGTGATCTGTTTCTTCTCTGTTAATTTTCATGTATGCGGTCTGATTCCAGTAGAGTTCTGAAATTATTCTGAGGTCTTTGTCATCCAGGTCTGCCTCTTTTAAAATTTTTATCATCTTTTGATGTTGAACTCTGTCAAATGCCTTTTCGTAGTCGATCAAGCACGCGTATACGTCGCAGTTAACGTCCCTGCATCTTTGAATCAGTACCTGTACTCCAAAAAGTGCCTCTCTGGTACCCACTGCGTTAATGAAGCCGAACTGTCTGTTCGATATTTGTTCCTCGCACTTTTTATAAATTCTTCCATGGATGACTCTAAGAAACAGTTTCAACATGTGGCTCATTAGGCTGATTGTTCGATATTCTTCGCACTTTTTAGCCCCCTGTTTTTTAGGTATCGCTATGAATTCTGATTCTAACCATTTATCAGGGATGATTCCTGTATTGTAAATTTTATTGAAGACAGCCGTGATCCAAATTATTCCTTCTTCCTCCAAGAGATTTAAAAATTCAGCTTCGATATTATCAGGCCCTACAGCTTTCCTGCTTTTCATCCGTTTTATTGCTACTTCTACCGTTTGGCATAAAGAATCATTATTCTAACTCCATAGGTTGAAATGCTCCCCTACCAGTAATTGTTGATGATTTTCTTAAAAGCCGTAGGTGTATAGTCAAAATGAATGGAACATTCCCAATGAAATTCAATGCAACAAGTAGTTCCACACGATTCGCCGCTGTCTCCTCTAATGTATAAACTATATACCGTCAGTATAGTCATATCTTCTTCTTCTTCAAGTGCCCTGTCCGTTGCGAACGTTGGCTATTAACATGGCAATTTTGATCTTGTTTGCGGCGCTTCTGAATAGTTCGACCGATGTGAGCCCGAACCACTTCCGCAGATTTTGGAGCCACGAGTGTCTTCTCCTGCCTGGCCCTCGCTTACTGTCTATTTTTCCCTGGACAATCAATTGTAGCAGACGGTACTTATCGTGCCTCAATATGTGGCCTAGATATTCAAGCTTTCTTTGTTTAATTGTATTCACGATTTCTTTCTCCTTTCCGATTCTTTGGAGTACTTCTATGTTGGTGACATGTTCGATCCAGGATATACAAAGAATGCGTCGGTACACCCACATTTCGAATGCTTCTAGTTTTCTCGTTAGCGTCTCCGTCAGCGTCCAGGCCTCCACGCCATACAGCAAGATCGGAAAAATGTAGCATTTAACTAGACGTAGTTTTAGGGAAGAGACAAATCCTTGCTTATGAGGAGCTTTTTCATATTGCTAAATGCTGCTCTAGCTCGTTCTATTCTCGCCTTAATTTCTATGGTCTGTTCCCATTTTGCATTTACGTTGGTGCCAAAGGTACACATAAGATTCTACATGGTCAATTATTATGTTACTTATCCGTAATTGTCGAGCAGGTTGTTGCTTTTTGCTTATCAGCATCCACTTTGTCTTCTTGAAGTTGAGGCTCAGGCCGTATTCCTCACTAACTGATTAAAGTCTTTCCATTACTTGTTGTAATTCGTCTATGGTACTGACAAGGATCAACGTGTCGTCGGCATATCTTATATTGTTCGTTAACTCGCCGTTTATTTTTATGCCCTCATTTGCATTTTCCATACATTTGTTAAATATTTCCTCGGAATACATATTGAATAGGAGTGGGGATAATATACACCCCTGACGGACACCTCTTTTGATCTGCACGCTTTCAGTGAGTTCGTTGCCAATTTTTGCTCTTGCTGTTTGACCCCAGTATAGGTTTGCCACAATTCGAATATCCTTATCGTCAATACCTGTCTTTCGCAGAATACCTATCAATTGTTCATGATTGACATTGTCAAATGCTTTTCTAAAATCTACAAAGCACAAATACACGTCCTTATCAACGTCTCTACACCGCTGTATAAGCACCTGGAGAGCGAAAATTGCTTCTCTAGTTCCAAGTGCTTTCCGAAAACCAAACTGCGATCTATCAATATTTGCCTCACATTTATCATATATTCTTCTATGAATGATCTTAGTGAACGCTTTAGTGACATGATTGATCAAGCTTATAAGCTGGTAGTCATCACAAATCTGGGCATTTGGTTTCTTCGGGATTGTAATAAATGTTGACTGCAGCCAGTTCTCCGGGATTTTACCGCTATTATATATGTTGTTAAAAAGTACAACTAGATTATCAAGGAACTGTTTGTCTGATTTACATATGATCTTTAATATTTCGCAGGGTACATTGTCCGGACCTGCTGACTTATTGTTTTTTAGTGCTGCAATGGCATCTTCTATCTCCGATTTAAGGATTGAAGGAACTGTTTCTCCTTCTCCATATAGGTGATCATCAGTCCTGTCAGATGCAAATAATTTTTCTATGTATGATTTCCATGATTTTAAGATCGTTGATGGTTCCGAGATAAGATTTCCATCGGTATCTTTTATGCTGTTGGGTAACTTATTGAATTTCCTCTTGTCATCGATTTTATTTTTTTGTGCATATTGTTACTGTCGTATTTTCGTTCGTATTGTTCTATTTCCCTGCATTCGTTGGAAAACCATTTTTCTTTGGCTTCTCGAATTTTCGTTCTTATGGTTTTGTGGATCTGCTGGTATTTTTCTGCATTTTTATTCTTGAATTTACGTCTTTCATCCATCATATCCATTATCTCATCAGACATCCATTCTTTCTTTTTCCGTTGGTCACGCTTTAATAGAGCCGCGCATGTTGTTTGGATTGCTTCCTTCGATTTATCCCATCTCTCTATTATGTCCGACGTGTTCTCGTTAATGTGCTTTATTTTCTTTCCTAGTTGTTCTCGTACTTTTATTTCGGTTTCTGGGTTAGTGAGTTTTTTAATATCGATTGTGTTTAAATTAGATCTTTTCTCGAGCCGTTTTACTCTCATGACCATTCTGCATACTAACAAATTGTGGTCCGTAGGAACATCGGCACCTGGGTACGTTTTTGATGATTTTATCATGTTTTTATATCTTGTTGGTACTGCTATATAATCTATCTGATTTCTAATGATGTTGTGAGGTGAGTCAGCGGGGGATTTCCATGTGTAAAGTCGACGTTTGGGGAGCTTGAAGAGTGTATTACTTAACAGCAGGTTATATTCCTGGCAGAACCATAAAAGTCTATCACCTCTATCGTTTCTCTCCCCTAGGCCGAAGTTTCCCACGATCTCATTCACCTTGCCTCTGCCAACCTTTGCATTGAAATCTCCCATCACTATTGTTACTTCATGTTTTTTTGTCATTTTCATCAGGCTTCCCAGTTGTTCGTAGAATTCTTCGCTGGTTGCCTCATCTTTATCTGCCGTTGGCG